CCAGAAGATATTCTGTGGATATCCTCAGATATCCATGGGATATCCAAACCGCCGATTTTTTGGATATCCTTAAGAGATCCTTTTGATATCCATAGGACATCCCTAGGATATCTGCGGGATATTATCAGTATATCCCAAGGTATCTTGTGTTATTAGGGTGCAATTTGTATTTTGTTGGTTGATTTCCATTGTCCCCATTCGCCATTTGCAGGCCTCGGAGCGACTTAAAAGCACAAAAAAAGTTGTTTTAGTCGATTTATATTCCAAAAAAAGTCGAAAAAGTCAAAAAAAAGTTTTACAGATTTTTAAATAAAAATTTTTTAAAAATAATAATAATTTTGGAATAGTTAAAGTTGAAATTTTTAGAAATAATTGAATTTCAAATGATTTTGTTAATTTTCAGACAATAATAAAAATTTTACAAAATTGAAAATAATTTATCAATTAATTTTAGATAACATTTTTTAAAAGTAATTGAATTTTTAAATATTTACAATTGAAATTTTTGAAATTAATTGAATTTCAAGTGATTTTTAATTAAAATTTTTTTTGATGATTTCACTAAAAAATTCATTAGAAATTGCGGACACAAATACAATAATTTGAAAACCATTTTTAATTTATTTATTTCAATTTAGACGGGTAGTAATTACACTGCCCATTAGTACAGAGTACTGAATATTACAGAAAAAGAAATACAGTAATTATTGTGTGGCCACACTAGCATTATTATTATCGTGGTATATCAAGTATTGTAACTCTCGGACGAAGGTGTTGATTGAAACACCGAAAAAATTAAGGTTACTATTATGTTGATTTGCCTCACGACTCAATCTATTAATCACCGAATTATTCGAATAATTAGTTCTGACAAAATGTAATTTAAATAGAGGAACATGTCTCGGGGATCGTTGAGGCACATAGAATCTAAATAGATACAATAAATCGGGACATCTAATAATTCCGTTAATAATTTTATACACAAAAAGGAGATCCGAAAATAGGAATCTTAGACGTAAAGACGGAATATTAAACAGTGACCTAAGAACTGTATAATCGTGACTATAGTAGTCGTGAGGCACCTCAGTCTTACTCGCAAGAAAACACAAAAACTTATTTTGAACCTTTTCCAATTCATTCAATAAATATTCCTGATAGGGCCACCATATTATTGACGCAAATTCTATTATTGGTCTAACCATCGTAAGGAATAAAAGCCTTATAGCTGAAGCATTCTTAAAATGCGAGGTGTTTCTAATTACAAATCCCAACACTTTAGATGCTTTATTAATAGTATATGTGATGTGATCGTTAAAAGTAAAAGAGGAGTTCAGCAATACCCCAAGGTCACGTACAATAAATATTCTAGAGAGTTTATTGTTACCAATACTATAAGTGCGATCAGGAATGTCGTTTGATCTAGAAAATGATATTACTTTACATTTTTTGATATTAAACAATAAATTATTTTCAATAGACCATGAATGCAAACGATCGAGATCTGATTGTAGATCCAAACAGTCCTGATCATTAGTAATAGTTTTGTAAATTTTTAAGTCATCGGCAAATAAAAGGAAAGAAGAAAATCTGAAAACATCTTTGATATTATTAATAAAAAGTATAAAAAATAACGGTCCTAAGTTTGATCCTTGGGGAACTCCTGAAGTTGCTAAAAATATATCAGAAAATTCATATTCGATACGCACAGATAGTGTTCGATCAGTGAGATAACTACTGATCCATGCTAACAATTTATCGGAGAAACCTAGAGCTTTAAGCTTGGCCAACAGAATACCATGGTCAACCTTATCAAATGCTTTGGCGAAATCAGTATATATGGTATCCACCACAGTTCCAGACTCGAGATTGCTTGAAATAAAATGAGAAAAGATACTGAGATTTGTCAAAATAGACCTGCCCTTAGTGAAACCATGCTGCTCCTCCATGATCGAGCCTTCAATTTGCCTGTAAAGTTCATCGTGAATTAAGCTTTCAAAAATTTTAGAGATTGTGCTTAATAAAACAATAGGGCGATAATTTTTGACGTCATTCTTATTGCGATCTTTATGGACGGGAACTACTATCCCTCGTTTCCATACCGTAGGAAAAATGCCACACGAAAGAGAATGATTAAACAAAATATATAAAGGCTCGACAAGAGAGGAGCAACAGGACTTCAGTATGGAGGGCGGAATCTCATCAGGTCCAGACCCTTTTTTTATGTCAAGTTGTTTTAGTTTTATCAAGATAGATTCCTTAGAAATGTGAAAAATATTAACAAAATTACTATTCTGTGATTCTGAAACCGTGGCAGTTACATTTAATGTCGAGTTAGTGTAGACGGAACTAAAATAATCCTTAAAGCAGTTAGCTGAGTCTAAGCCATTGTTAGCAATAACAGAATCATGAAAAACCTCTTTTGGAATTCTAGGATTACGACGTAAAATTAATTTAAAAAATTGATTTCAGATAGTAGAATTTTTGATGAATATATATTATAGAAATAGTTAAAAATAATTGAATTTCAGGAGAATTATGATTGAAATTATTAAATTTCAAAAAATTGTAGATGAAAAATTTTAGAAACTTTTAAATTGAAATTTTTTAAAATAATTGAATTTTATTTGATTTCGAATTGAAAATTTTTAAAATAATTGAATTTTAATTGATTTTGAATTGAAAATTTTGAAATTAATTGAATTTAAATTGAAATGTTGGAAAATAATTGAAAAATTTATTAGAAATTACAGACAAAAATTGAACTTAAAAATCTTTTTAATTGCAAAATGTTTGTAGATAATTGAATTTTTGAAGAATATTATAAAAATCATTAAAAATAATGGAATTTTGTTGACATTTTTTTTTTTTTAAATGTAATAAAAAGTCGAAAAAAATCCGATTTTTGAAAAAAAGTCGGAAATAGTTGAAAAAATCGTATAATCGTATAATTATTGTCATAATTCTCGTCAACTATAGCACCCTGCTCTAGTAAAAATTAAGTGACTTTATTGTTAAAATTAAAAGCTAGTATAAAGTTACTAAATTTTTACTAGAGCAGGGTGCGGTAGTTGACGAGAATTATGACAAATGGCGAGTGGAGACAATGGAAACCAACCCATATGCCACGAACTAATAAAATTATTATAGAAGTTTCACTTGAGAAAAAATTTATTTAAAATTTAGTCATTAATTTTTTCCGCGTTGATTACAATTTTTCCCTATATATATATATATAATTCACTTTAGATTTTTAATTTCTTGTTTAACTTATAGAATTGTTTAAACGCTTTTTCTTTTTACATTTTCTATATATATATACATATATATTTATGATATTTCTCTCGGGTGATAAAATTTTATATGAAAAGTGTTTTTTCATATCCGAGCTGAGGCATTTTGAAATGCATTGTTAAAAACAATTACGCTAGTTTCGCCGCTTAAAAGATATCATTGCATTCCGGTACCGCCCCATTGGTATATAGTCCCTCTACTGGGGAACCCCCTTTATTCGCCATTGAAGTTCTCTTGCGTAATTAGATCTCGGGACCACCGCACCAACTTCACCCCACGCTAGCCATTACTTTTAATGGCCTTGTTAATGAAACTAGGTGTCGCCAAATTAACCTCTCATTCTAGAAGTGCTCAACTATCTCAATAAGAACTATTATTGTGCGCTGTAACTATATATAATATATATACTTTTATATATATTTATTTATATGCGTTGTTATTTATTTTACATTGTACCATTTTAATTAGAAATGATTGTCAATTTTTATCACTATATGTGACGCTCCACGAGAGAAGGGACCTAACGTGCTTTTGACTTAAGGTTCATTCAAAATGACTTTTTTTGAAAAAAAAAGACTTTTATAATTGATGCATTTTTAAGGAAGTTATGAGCATTCAAAAATTAAAAGTCGTGAAAATTCTTCAATTTTTAAAATTCCATATAACTCGAAAACGGCTTGCTGAAAAAATTTGAAAAAATTCATGAAAGCTAGTCTCAATTAGTACTAAAAGCAAAAAAAAAAATCTCAAAAAAATCGGAGATGCAATTGCGCAGATGGACTTACACTTTGGCGTGGAATACATCCTATTATAAAGCAAATGTTGTTTCAGCAATTTTTAAATTTTGGCGCTATTATACATAGTTTTGTTTTACAAAGTTGGCACTTGTACTACTCAAATATACATAAGCTTCATAACCTACAAATTCTACGATTTAATTTGTTGAATTTTTCATAAATCAGTATCAAGAAATAAAATTTAAATAAATTTTCTTTTAATTTTTATAGGCGCAAAAACTTTGAAAAAATTTTAATAAAAAAAAGTGAATGTTTTTAAATTTTTTGCCTAAAATTTAAAATGAATATTAAAATTGCATTTTCTTTATGCTGCAGCTCAAAATAAGTAGTACCTTAATGATTATTTTGAATTCCAAGTTTTTTTCTGTGAGCTAAATACCTATATAATTGGTTTCTCTGTTACAATGGTAAATATTTATCTGAAGGGAAAGAAATGTAAAGAGAAAGCGAAAAAAAAGAAGAGTAAATGATAGGAATTGATATAAGAGAATAGAATTAAAAGATGTTGGAATACGTGGGAGATTGGGAATGAGAGGTTTGAAAACCACTGGACCAAGCTGATTACCGCGGTAACCATCCCCCGAGCGCCAATTAATCTTAACTTTTACGGGGCAAACGCTTTTCATTAAGCTCTCCCCTGTCTCCTCGATCACCTCCAGTTTAGCTTCTCTCCAAGCTTCTCTCCCACCCTTAACTTGAAAACCTTCCCCTCACGATTCCCCACCATTTTCCTAGATTTCTCCTCTTTCTGCCCTACCCCTTCCCCTCTCTATCCTAATTCAAACTGCCTCAACCCCCCTAACCCGCCTACCCCAGTGGAGGAGAGGCAAGGAAAATGGCTCCCCAGACAAGCGTTTAATCTGGCTCTAATTAGCAACTTAGCCTTCTCTCCTATCCCCTCTGTCTCCTTACCTTCAGCCAATTCACCCCTGCACACTTCACGGAGCTCCAACACAACTTGTATTCTCATGCCCTTTTCTTTAAGTCACGTTCTTTTTATTTCTGCAAAACACTTCTTCTCATTGTCTTCCTTTTACAAGCATACAATTTCTTTTCTCTCTCTCTCATTTGTCCACGTTCCTTCAGCTCAGCCGCCCTTTTTTTTCTGTTCATTCCTCATTGTCTTTTAGAGGATATCATCCTTTGACCTTATGAAAGGTGAAAAGTGATGCTGGGTTGAGAGTATAGTATAGTGAATTGATGAAGGTGACATATTGCGCTCATCACGAATAAGAGATCTTTAAAAATTATGTTCTTTGATTGTAGTTTATAAAATTTTTCTATCGTATTTTCATCTTGTGCAGAAATTGCGTCATTTTTCCCCGCATTTGAAATAGGGCTTTTGGTCACGTCAATTTTCCTATAATTTGAAAAAAAATAATTAATTAAGTTCTTATAAAATTAACTTCTGTAAAAAAAAAGTTATTAACTATTGAATGAAATTTTTAATACTAAAGTTTTAATATTTTTATTTTAGGGGTTTGAATGGAGTTTCTATCCAAAACTCTAAATAGACTGCAGAGTTACCATAATGCCCGTCAAAAAACGCAACTACCCACACAGCACATCACAGAAAAAAAGGTGCGGGTAAAAAGTTGTAAAGATACACTGTTAATTTGAAAGTATTAAATTGCAACGAATTGATTCCAATATTTGGATCAAAATATAATTTGATTCAAATATTGGGATCAATTTGATCCAATTCGGTATCAAATTGATACTTTCAAGAAAACAGTGTAGAGGATAAAAGTCGTTAGGATACAGGGTAAAGGATAAATTTGTGATGGATAAAAATGTTACTAAAATATTACTAGAAAAATGAATGTCATATTTGAGTAAACTGTCTAATTTTAAGAAAAATATTAGTAATTTTACACTTATAACTTATTAAATCCACAAATTTTATATAAATAAGTAATTGCAAGTGGAAATATTTTTCCTATAATTATTGTCTATTAATAAAAATATCTTTGACTAATACAACTGACAGCTTACGACAGTACGTAAATAATCAGAACTGGGAAATTACAACTCAACGTCTGTATTGTTGCACGAAAGCAGAGTTGGGTACTGAATTTTTTGTGCATATTAGGCTGTGTCAGTTCATCGAGATATTTCGTGTTCAAGATATGACGTCAGAGGCCTGGAGAGACAACAAACAGACGACACAATGTTATTCTTACGGGGAAGAAAATTTGTTTCCACTTTCATCAATTTTATTCATACTTTAAACACGGAAAACGCTTGTTGACATATAATAAAATTAAAATGTGTGTTGATAATTAATTTTGTTATATATTTGATTCATTTGCATTGATATATTCTCTGAATTCGTGATAAAAATATTAATATTGAGGTTAGAAAAGTTTGTTTACTAATCACATTTTACATTTTAACATTATTAAACAATATCCAGTATGCATGTTATTAAAGAAGATATAAAATATATATTTTAAGTGGGAATTACCGCAGCAGTAAAAGATTTCAAGTTAGTAAACAAACACCCCTAACCTCAAACTTTATATTTTATCACGAATTCAGAGAATCTATCTATGCAATTAAATCAAATATATAACAAAATTAATTATCAACACACTTTTTTAATTTTATTATATGTCAACAAGCGTTTTCCGTGTTTAAAGTATGAATAAAATTGATGAAAGTGGAAACAAATTTTTTTCCCCATGAGAATAACATTGTGTCGTCTGTTTGTTGTCCCTCCAGGTTTCTGACGTCACACCTAGAATCGACTCTGACGTCACAAGTGACAGAGCCTAATATGCACAAAAAATTCAGTTACTACCCAACTCTGCTTTCTTGCAACAATGCAGACGTTGAGTTGTAATTTCCCAGTTCTGATTATTTACGTACTGTCGTCAGCTGTCAGTTGTATTAGTCAAAAATATTTTTAATAATAAACAGTAATTATAGGAAAAATATTTCCACGTGCAATTACTTATTTATATAAAATTTGTGGATTTAATAAGTTAAGTGTAAAATTACTAATATTTTTATTAAAATTAGACAGTTTACTCAAATATGACATCCATTTTTCTAGTAATATTTTAGTAACATTTTTATCCATCACAAATTAATCCTTTACCCTGTATTCTAACGACTTTTATCCTCTATCTTTACAACTTTTTACCCACCTTTTTATCTGTGATAAACTTTCTTGAATTTGTCCTGAATATTTCATTGAAAGATTCGAAATATTTCTATGAAAGGTCCATGAAATTTTGATGCAAGCAATGAAATGTTCGCCTATAAGAAATATTGCAGTTTCGATTGTACGAAAAATTTCAGCGAAATGTTCAGGAAATGTGAGGATGAAAAATTACTGACATATTATTTTTTAATATTTGCAAAATAAAAAAATGAAATATGTTAAAAAATTTTAAGTCAAATATTTTGAAAAGATTATTCATTCAAAATTCTAGAAATATCGAAAGGAAATATTTCTTAATTGTTAAAAATACATATTTAGGCAATATCATCCGGATATATTTGTGAAAAATAAAAAAAATGAATTTCAGAAATAAATTGCTCTAGTGATTGTGAAAATATCTGACAAAATTTGTGTATTTAGTTAAATAGTGACAATTTATTTATTATAAAGAAATTATTACACGTAAGATGCAACAAGCGAAACATGATTAATATATATGAACAGTAAGTATAAAAATAGAATAATTAAAATAAATAAGATCCGCTCAGGTACGCAAGAATATACTATAAAAGTCAATTTGTTAGAAATTTTACTTGACTGGACTTTCAATATCCGTAACTTTTTAATTGAATTCTTAATTTACTGCATAATTATTATTGAACAAAAAATTTGTTTCGCACAATTGTCATTTGATAACATTTCTATTTTTCAGAGTATTCAAATGTTTAAAATTTAATTTGTCTAAAATTGCAAATGACAAAAGGTACACATGAACCGATCGCCGGAAAGACGGTATACGTCGATTTAAGACATTTTGAGATATGTTAAATTTAAGATTCATTTGTAAGTTATAATTTAAGGCATTATTATCGAAAATTTTTTTCTTTTACAAAGATTTACTATCAGTCAACTAATTTTGTCACATATATTTTCACAATCACTACCGCAATTTATTTCTGTAATTAAAATAAGCAAAATTGGATTAAAATAATAAGCGTTGCAGCTTATTTTAATGCCTTTTAATTTTCTGTGATGTTTAAACAAATTAAAATTATTTAAAATTTTTATGTATGGTATTTTTTTTGAGAAAAAGTCTAGAATCACACGAATTTTATATTAGAAGTTGAAAAAATAAAAAAAAAGTTTTTAATATATGTTAAAAAAATTATTATAAATAAATCGTTCATTTAGATAATAACTCTGACGGATTCTTCTGAAACGTGTTTCTCGGGGATTTTTGGGGTCACTAATCATGAATTTGATGTTAGATTTTCAAAATTCAAAATGGCGGATCCAACATGACGGACAAATTTTCAAAAATTCATTAAATTCATTTGAAAATTGTTACTCGGTGGGTTTTTATGACCGCTGATTACGAATTCGATGTCAGAATTTCAAAATTCAAATTGCGGATTCAATATGGCGGAAAAATTTTTGGAAATTAATTGGTTTAACTTGAAAATCGTTACACGGGGGTTTTTGAGATGATTTGGTAGCTTCGAAAAAGGCTGATTTTTACAGTTATTGAAGTGTAATAATTTGGTGCCCTTAAAAAAGTCCGTTTGATATAAATTTACAATGTGCATTCGAAGCAATATATTTGTATTTCAATATTGTATAACTGGAATAGTTCTTATTTTTTTAAATAAATATTTTAGAAATCAGGTTCATATAATATCTGTGCGGAACAAATGAATTGCTAATCTCTGAAAAATTTTATATAATATTATAATCTACTCAGAATATTAAAATTTTATTATGTCCAATTCCACTCTCTGCAAATAAAACAAATGACTGACAATGAGGTCATTTGTCCCCAATGTCATTTTGAATTTTTAAAATTTGACATCGAATTCGTAATCAGCGATCCCAAAAACCCCCGAGTAACAAGTTTCAAGCGAATTCAATGAATTTTTAAAAATTTGTCCGCCATATTGGATCCCCCATTTTGAATATTGAAAATCTAACATCAAATTCGTGATCAGCAATCTCAAAAACTCCCAAGTAATGATTTTCAAGCGAATACAATGAATTTTTAAAAATTTGTCCGCCATATTGGATCCGCCATTTTAAATTTTGACCTTGGATTCGTATTCAGCGACCTTAAAAATATAAAAATTTGAGGTTTTATATCATTATAGTTACAAGATAAAAGAGTTTTTAACTTTAAATATAGAAAATTGTTATGTTATGTCAAATATCTGGCTATGGTGGCAGCCATTTTTAAAATATGAAAAAGAGCCACTCGGCATTGGATTAAAAAAAAAAAAATGCTAAATTTTGATCCCTATAACTTTGCGATTCTTTAAAATCACGAGTGGACTAAGCCATTTGCCTTTTTCCATGGAATGACCCATATATATTTTTCTAAGTTAAGTTTTAAATTTATGTATATTGGCTTGTTGATGATTTTTTATTGTAATAATGATCAAAATTCAAAAAGTTAATGCTACAGTATCTGGGAATAAAATTGTCAATAATGAATTTTCAAAATCAACTCCAAAATATGAGGCTATTTAATATTTGATATTTTACTCGCAAGGAATAATAATAAATAAAAAAAAATTAATGAAAAATTACACTCTTTCTTTTTTATAATTTATGAATAATTTCATATTCGTAATTTTTGTACTACAACAAATAAATTAACAAATATCAGCTGCAGCTAACAAAAACTAAATTAGAAAATTTTTGGAATTTCAAATTTTGTTTACCACATGTCGATAAGTTACCACTTATCATATGTTGGATTTTATCATGCAAATTAAATCAAAACCATTCAGTAATAAAGATAAATTAATTTGCTATCAATTTTTTTCAAAATTAATTAATTTTCAATAATTTAAT